TAGGTAGGGGCGGCGGCAATGAGATTTCCTCAGCGGAACCTCTGGTGGAACCAACGCTGAATTGATGAATAATTTTCAATCTCTCCCCTGTCTGTCTGTCTGCCTGTTTGTCACTCTATCTCGGTCTGTCTGTCTGTCTGCCTGTCTGTCTCTCTATCTCGGTCTGTCTGTCTGTCTGTCTCTTTGCGCTTGTTACCGCTCTGCCTCTCTGGTCATCTGTGTCTATTTATCTATCTGTCTGTCCGTCTGTCTCCCCTTCCCACATAGTATAATAGTGCCTCTCTTCTACTACTACTACTACTACTACTACTACTACTACTACTACTACTACTACTACTGCTACTGCTACTGCTACTACTACTACTACTACTACTACTACTACTACTACTACTACTACCAGCCCACTGTTTCGCCCCGTCTGGGAGGTCATGGCGTATCCTATAAATAGTCGCCCTGTCCCATCAACGTAGTGTGGGGCACAACTCCCCAGTCGGCGTGGTGCCACTCAGAATTCCCCAACCTGTCTGTCTGGCCAAAACCAGCGTCTTTTTCTTCCTTCTTTTCCTCCGTCCGTACTTTCGATGTTTTAAATTGTCTTCTTTTGTGCTGGCGGGAGGGTTTATAGACTCTCTCCTCTTTCTTTTCGGTGTATGTTGTTACACGTACTCTCACTAGCTTACTTTACTTTTACTTTTATCAGCCGCTTACACCCTTTTGGGTGTCGCGGGGAAAAAAAGAAGAGACGTCTCTCTGTCGCCAGCCGGAGAGCTTGGGTCAGGGTGATGCTGTGAGTTGTTATTGTGTTTCCCTGACTCCATCTATCCAGGTCTTTCTCGATCGCCCTCTAGCCTTGTTGCCATCGAATTTTGCCGGATGGTGTGTTGGTAATCGCATGAGATGTCCAAAACCACTCTCACTAGCAAAACCTCTAATCTCCGGTAAGCTTACTTATTTGACATATTTCTCTTGAAAGCGCTGTAAAACGCTTAAATAAAACTCCGGAGAGAGAGAGAGAGAGAGAGAGAGAGAGAGAGAGAAAGAGAGAGAGAACGAGGGATAGATAGATAGGTAGATAGATAGATAGATAGATAGATAGATAGATAACAGAGTCCAAGGGAGAGATAGAGAGAGGGAGAGAGAGAGAAAGAGACAGACAGACAGACAGAGAGACAGACAGAGAAAGACACAGAGCGAGCGGTAAGGAGACGCTACAAAGCCTAAAACCCTCAAATCCAAAGCCGGATTTCGCGTCCTCCCTCAGTACCACACAGACGAATTTTCCATCCCCAAAAGTCACTTTGTATAGTAGAAGATCAAGCTCGAGATCAATCCGATCTCCTACAGGGAACCCC